AACTGTGTCGAAAGCAGCGGAGAGGTCGAGGAGTAGGAGTTTAAAATGATTAAAATGGTTGTACATAATATATTTATTGTTCTGTTTTCAATTACTTACAATGCATTCATTGTAAACGTGTTAAAACCAATACTTATTGAAACAGAGACTGTAGCCAGTCTGTTCACTACAGGTCAGTGGCATTACTAAAAATGCAACTTATCCATTTACCAGAGGATGGTGACACCACTGAGAATTCAGCCTATCCATTCACTAGATACCAGTGATCTCAATGACACATGATGCGTGTTTAGTAAATTATTGACTGATAGATTTTCTACCATTGCTTGTTAAAAGAGACATAATGAGCAAAGGAAAAAAACAGGAAAATATTATTTACAAAAAAAAAAGTGAAGTTGTTTGGTGAACCCATATATCACATTCGTACAAATGTTTAATGTGTGGTATGTTTTAAATATACAATTCAAGCATGCAATTCCCCCTATATAAACATCTCAAGCACACACAGAAAGAAGATAGGCTGAGTGACTTTGATAAGTTTTTAAGTCAAGTTGTACAGGAGATGACGCTACAGCAGTGGGGAGAAGATGTAAGAGAATCCAGTGACAACCCAAGGACGGATAGTGAAAGGAGAGCCAATATGAGCTGGGAGGGGGTGGAGAAGGATGATGATGCCAAGGCGGGCTGGCAAACAGGTGGCATAAGGAACAGCAAGCGCTGGCATTGCACCGACATCCGCTCAGACACCCACGATGCCTGACACTAGCCAAGTCAACAGCAAAATCTGCTAATTTTTTCTAGATACAGTTTATTGGCATAGAGATATAAAATTACTCATGTCAGTGGGGGGACAACCAGTTTGTTTTTTTGGGGACAAAAATGCTATCTTGTTCTCCTCTTAAGGATGACACATGACACTACTACAGTGTATGCCTGTCCAGTACAAATATCGGGAGATCATTTGGTACTTTCTTAGAGAAGCACTGCCAGTTCTACAGTCACCACTCTTCAATAGCACTAGACGCCTATGAATTAAACAACAGCACCACCTGAGCCAAGAATGCCAACAGTAAGGATTGTGGTAAGCCATTCTGATTTATAATGACTCGGTCACCTTAAAAAAAAACAAAAGCACAGAAATCCTAGCAGGTAGGAGTAAAGGCACATAGTGGAGCGTATATCTGCAGTAACCTAAATTTCCAACTGTTACTGCTGAATACTGGGCTGTTTTGAAGAACTCAACTTCCAGGTAGCATTAGAAGTTCCCCAACCCTGCACATCCCTACTGACCCATTAAAGTGATAGTCACTTTATTTTACAGATCTAGATTCACAGTAATCTGTACATGATGTAACAGAATAAAAATGATGTGTAACAAAGTCACTTTCTTACCATGAGTTAACATGATTTCAAGGTAACGCTGTCACTTGAACACCAATAAATTGTAGACTACATCTTATGTTCATCCTTCAAATGAATGCAGTATGCCAAGTACCAGAGTTACAATCACTCACTAGTCTAGCAGCATGTCAACTTTAGGAGACAGGACACTGAAATGGGATTTTTGTACTCCTTTTCTTGATCTCCACTGAGGGACACATGAAGTCAAGTTATACTTCTTATAGAAGGTCTGGACACTGGCAAACAAAAAACTATAGGCCAGCCCAGGATAACCCTTCCTACTAGCAGCATCTCTCAGTTTAATATCAAAGCAGTCCTGAAAGCATTTTCATACACAGAGAGGGGCGAGACATGTGTCCCTTAATGGACACCAAGAAAGGAATTTTATAGTGAGTACAAAAATTCTACTTTTGTCCACGCAACTGACACAAAAATTCTTTCACCTGTGTGACATCCAAAAGCAGTCCAACTAAGGGGTAATCAACACAACAAACAAATGATAATGAGCCCAAGAAAAAACAACTAAGAACTGGGGACTGCCAGCAACTCAAAAAAGCCGACCTGAAGGAACTAGCCAAAGCTGTCATCAAATAAGGCTGCAACACACACCTGGTAGAAGTTAGAGAACATGTGAACAGAAGACTAAATAGCAGCCTAGCAAATATGGGAAACAGTTGTTTGATGCAGAAAAGCCCAAGAAGAACTCACAGATCTAGGAGAATGCACTTTAACAGAGAAAGGTTGGAGTCTGATCCTTGAGACCATAAGCTTGGTTAATGGGCTGCCTGAGCCACCTAGAGATGGTGGAATGAAAAGCTAAACCACCCTTAAGAAGCAGTGGCTTTGAGATGGATTCTTGCAACCCGAGTCGCATCCATGCAATAGTGAACTTTCCTTTTGGTGAATTGGAGCAGGACAGAGGGACAGAAAAGGAAAATCCTGGTTAAGGGGAAAGTACCTTATGCAAGAGGGAAGTCCTGGGCCTCAACCCCACCTTGTCCCAATGCAGAACCAGAAAGGTTTCCTTGCAGGATAAGGCTGTCAGTTCAGACACTCGCCTCGTAGAGTTGATGACTACAAGGAAAACCATCTTGTGGGTGATAGTGGAGATCGGAATGTCTCTAATGGGTTCAAAAAGTGCTTTCTTAAGCACAGACAGAACCACATTCAGATTCCACAGTCACAGGGGAACAAATGGGGAGTTACATGGTAACAATTTAATTTTTTTCTACATACTTACCTGTACAATCCATTTCTTGGAGTACATCACGGCGACAGAGCAGGCTATTCATGTCTATGTGGGTTATATGCCACCTATAGGTGAATGGACACTGGCAGATCAATCAATCAGGAAGTCCTCTCTCTATAACCCCTCCTACACAGGGAGTACTTCAGTTTTTGTAGCAAGCAATGAAATTCCAGAAAGAGGGGAGGGACCTCTGTGTCCTGTGATATACTCCAAGAAATGGATTTTATAGGTAGAAAAAAAATCCAATTTTCTTTATCGTATATCACAGGACACAGCAGGCTATTCATAACTATGTGGGATGTCCTAATGCAATAAATAAATCTTGAGGGGTGGGTAACACCATAATAACCACCACCATCAATCACAAGGTCTTACTCAGCCGTGTGTGACATACTGCAGCCAAAACTCTGACATCCACCTGGTAAAAGTTTGTGAATGTATGAACTGAAGACAATGTCACAGCCTTGCAAACCTGAGCAACTGACGCCTGATGGCAGATAGCCCAAGATGCCCCCACACTTCTGGTAGAGTTCGCTCTCACCCGAAAGGGTAGGACCTTATCCATCAAACCATAGGCTTGAATGGTTAACTGGTGGATCCAATGAGAAATAGTTGATCTAGATGCCACCTGCCTTCCTGGGCCCTTTTGGTAGCACAAACCTGACCCGTGCCGCCAAACTCAATTAATTTCTGACCACCCAAACTACATTCAGAGAATGCAGCGATCTTTTCCCTGCCGACTGTGGACCAGGAAAAAAAAAAGACAAGACAATGCCCTGATTCAAGTGAAACTAGAAATCACTCTAGGCAAGAAAGATGAATGAGGACGCAACATCACCTCATCATGATGCAAGACCAAGAACGGCTCCTTACATGAAAGAGCCAACAGCTCTGACACTCTTCTTGCCGAAGTGATAGTAACCAAAGAATCCACCTTCCGAGTCAAAGGACTAATGGAGTCTCTAGAATTGGTTCAAAAGGTGGCTTCAGCAAGGACAGCCAAGACCATGTTCAAGTCCCAAGGACACAAGGGTGGCCTGACAGATGGGACCAGTCCACATTACACACTGCACGAAGTATGAATCAAGGAGTGAGAAACAACGGTTTCTGGGAAAAATTGGATAGAGCCGAAAACTGTCGCTTAATGCCAATTAATGGTACTTAAGGCCAATTTCATTTTCCCTGCAGATTAGAAAAAGGACAAAAACCATTCAATCGCACAATTCTGCGAGTGCCACTTGCTGGCTTCACACCAGGCAAATAAGCTTTCCAGGTCCTGTAATGAAAGCTTCCTGAAGCCAGCTTCCTGGCACTCAACAGTGTGGAAAACGGGACTTAAGACACCCCGATTCTTCGAGACCTGGGATTCAATAGCCAAGCCTTCAATCCTAGTGATTGTAAAGCAGCACACATTATTGGACCCAAGACAATAGGTCTGGGTGGACCAGAAGTGTCCAAGGAGCGTCCCCTGCCAGATACACTATTTTGGTGTACCAAGCCCTCCTGGGCTAGGCCAGGCTACCATTATTATCAGTGTTATCTCCTTCTGGATCCTGTGCAAAAGCCACAGCAATAGTTGGATTGGGGGAAGGCACAGATTAGGGGGAACTGGTCCCCAAGGTGTTACTAGTGCATCGAACTCTATTGCCTGTTTAACTTATAGTAGAACCTGGAAGTCCGGAAAACCACATCCAGTGCTCTCCAATGCTGGCAGAGTGCCAAGAATGTCTCAGGATGCAGGGACCACTCTCCTAGTATCAGCCGCTGACCTCTAAGGGAAAAAACACCCCTGCCAGTTTTCTATACCTGAACTATGTACTACTGACAGAGACGGCACATGCTGTTCTTCCCAAAACAGAATGTGGTTCACCTTTTCCTGAACCGCACAACTTCTGGTGCCGCCCTGGTGGTTGAAATACGCCACTGCCACGTCATTGTCAGACCGAACTCTGACCACAAACCTGTGCAACTTGAGTGGAACTGCACGTAGGAAACCACTTCAACATAGATACCATTTCCTTCTGCAGAGACATCTGCTTCTTATATTTTGCTTTAAACTTGGAACCAATTGCCCCTTGAGCAAGGGAACATTAAGGTATTAAGGTCAGCAAACCCAGCACAGTGCCCCAAAACAAAAGTGGTGATTCTTTACTACAAATTGCAGAAACCCTTGAGGAGCCTGAAAAAACTGGCACACAAAGATAGGAGTCATTAAGGGCTATGGACACCCGAAATCTCACATACATATATAAAATCACACACACTATATTGCCAAAAGTATTGGGACACCCCTTCAAATCATTGGATTCACCTCCATGGCCACAGGTATATAAAATCAAGCACCTAGGCATACAGACTGTTTTTACAAACATTTGTGAAAGAATGGGCCCGCTCTCAGGAGCTAAGTGAATTCAAGTGTGGTACCGTGATAGGTTGCCTCCTGGGTAATATGTCCATCTGTGAAATTTCCTTGCTACTAATTATTCCACGGTCAACTGTTAGAGGTATTATAACAAAGTGGAAGAAACTGGGAACAACAGCAACTCAGCCACGAAGTGGTAGGCCACATAAAATGACAGAGTGGAGTCAACGCATGCTGAAGTGCACAGTGCGCAGAAGTCACCAACTGTCTGAAGAGTCAATAGCTAAAGATCTCCAAACTTCGTGTGACCTTCAGATTAGCACAGCAACAGTGTGTAGAGAGCTTCATGGAATGGGTTTCCATGGCCGAGCAGCTGCATCCAAGCCATTCATCACCAAGTGCAATGCGAGGCGTCAGATACAGTGGTGTAAAGCACACTGCTACTGGACTGTACAGCAGTGGAGATGTGTTCTCTGGAGTGACGAATCGCACTTCTCTGTCTGCCAATCTGATAAATGTGTCTGGGTTTGGACGGTTGTCAGAAGAACGGTACTTTCCTGACTGTATTGTGCCAAGTGTAAGGTTTGATGGTGGGGGAATTATGGTGTGGGGTAGCTTTTCAGGGTTGGGCTTGGCCATTTAATTCCAGTGAAGGGGACTCTTAAGGTGTCATCATACCAAGACATTTTGCACAAATTTCATGCTCCCAACTTTGTGGGACAAGTTTGGGGATGGCCCAATCCTGTTCCAACATGACTGCGCACCAGTGCACAAAGCAAGGACCATAAAGACATGAATGAGTGAGTTTGGGGGGTGGAGGAACATGACTGGCCCGCACAGAGTCCTGACCTCAACCCAATAGAATACCTTTGGGATGAATTAGAGAGAAGACTGTGAGCCAGGCCTTCTCGTCCAACATCAGTGCCTGACCTCACAAATGCGCTTCTGGAAGAATGGTCAAACATTCCCATAGACACACTCCTAAACCTTGTGGACAGCCTTCCCAGAAGAGTTGAAGCGGTTATAGCTGCAAGGGGTGGGCCAACTCAAAAGTGAACCCTACGGACTACGACTGGGATGCCATTGAAGTTCATATGCATGTAAAAGCAGGTGTCCCAATACTTTTGGCAATATAGAGTGTGTATGTGTGTGTGTGTGTATACATACACACACACAGTGAGGAACAGAAGTATTTGAACACCCGGCGATTTTGCAAGTTCTCCCACTTAGAAATCATGGAGGGGTCTGAAAATCACATTATAGATGCATTCCCACTCTGAGAGACAGAATTTAAAAAAACAATTTCAGGAAATCACATTGTATGATTTTTAAAGAATTTATTTGTCTTGCACTGCTGAACATAAGTATTTGAACACCTAAGAAACAGCAAGAATTCTGGCTCTCAAAGACCTGTTACTGTGCCTTTAAAAAGTCCACCTCTACTCCACTCATTAATCTAACTTAGTAGCACCTGTCTGAGCTCTTAAAACACCTGTCCACCCCACAGTCAGTCAGACGCCAACTACTACCATGGGAAAGACCAAAGAGCTATCAAAAGACACCAGAGACAAAATTGTGGACCTCCACAAGGTTGGAAAGGGCTACGGGGCAATTGCCAAGCAGCTTGGTGAAAATAGGTCAACTGTTGGAGCAATTGTTAGAAAATGGAAGAGGTTAAAGACGACTGTCGGTCTGCCTCGGACTGGGGCTCCATGCAAGATCTCACCTCGTGGGGTATCACGGATGATAAGAAAGGTGAGGAATCATCCCAGAACTACAAGGGAGTAGCTGGTCAATGACATGAAGAGAGCTGGGACCACAGTTTCCCACACTGTGGTCCCAGCTCTCTTCATGAGAACACTACGCCGTCATGGTTTCAAATCATGCATTGCACGGAAGGTTCCCCTGCTCAAGTCATCACATGTCCAGGCCCGTTTGAAGTTTGCCAATGACCATCTGGATGATCCAGAGGAGGCATGGGAGAAAGTCATGTGGTCAGATGTGACCAAAGTAGAACTTTTTGGTCTAAACTTCACTCGTCGTGTTTGGAGGAAAAAGAAAGATGAATTGCATTCCAAGAACACCATCCCTACTGTGAAGCATGGGGGTGGTAACATCATGCTTTGGTGCTTTTCTGCGAAGGGGACAGGACGACTGCACTGTATTGAGGAGAGGATGAATGGGACCACTTATTGTGAGATTTTGAGCAACAACCTCCTTCCCTCAGTCAGAGCATTGAAGATGGGTCATGGCTGGGTCTTCCAACATGACAACGACCCGAAGCACACAGCCAGGATAACCAAGGAGTGGCTCTGTAAAAAGCATATCAAGGTTCTGGAGTGGCCTAGCCAGTCTCCAGACCTAAATCCAATAGAACATCTTTGAAGGGTGCTGAAACTCCATGTTGCTCAGTGACAACACCGAAACCTGACAGATCTAGAGATCTGTGTGGAGGAGTAGGCCAAAATCCCTGTTGCAGTGTGTGCAAACCTGGTCAAGAACTACAGGAAGCGTTTGACCTCTGTAATTGCAAACAAAGGCTTCTGTACCAAATATTAACACTGATTTTCTCAGGTGTTCAAATACTTATGTTCAGCAGTGCAAGACATATAAATTCTTTAAAAATCATACAATGTGATTTCCTGAATTTGTTTTTTAAATTCTGTCTCTCAGAGTGGGAATGCACCTACAATGTGAATTTCAGACCCCTCCATAATTTCTAAGTGGGAGAACTTGCAAAATCGCAGGGTGTTCAAATACTTCTGTTCCTCACTGTGTGTGTGTGTGTATATATATATATATATATATATATATATATATTTTTTTTTTTTTTTTTTTTTTTACACACAGACACATACATACATACAGTGCCTTGAAAAAGTATTCATACCCCTTTACATTTTCCACGTTTTGTCATGTTGCAACCTAAAACGCAAATATATTTTCTTGGAATTTTATGTGATAGACCAACACAAAAGTGGCACATAATTGTGAAGTGGAAGGAATATGATAAATGGTTTTCAACATTTTTTACAAATAAATATCTGAAAAGTGTGGCGTGCATTTGTATTCATCCCCTTTACTCTGATACCCCTAACTAAAATCTAGTGGAACTAATTGCCTTCAGAAGTCAGCTAATTAGTAAACAGAGTCCACCTGTGTGTAATTTAATCTCATTATAAATACAGCTGTTCTGTGAAGCCCTCAGAGGTTTGTTAGAGAACATTAGCGAACAAACAGCATCATGAAGGCCAGGGAACACACCAGACAGGTCAGGGATAAAGTTCTGGAGAAGTTTAAAGCAGGGTTAGGTTATAAAAAATACCCCAAGCTTTGAACATCTTATGGAGCACTGCTCAAGTCATCATCTGAAAATGGAAAAAGTATGGCACAACTGCAAACCTACCAATACATGACCATCCACCTAAACTGACATGTTGGGCAAGGGTAGCATTAATCAGAGAAGCAGCCAAGAGGCCTATGGTAACTCTGGAGGAGCTGCAGAGATCCACAGCTCAGGTGGGAGAATCTGTCCACAGGACAACTATTAGTTGTGCACTCCACAAATTTGGCCTTTATAGAAGAGTGACAAGAAGAGAGTCATTGTTGAAAGTGTTAGTTTTCCACCACACATAGCGTTTTGCTTTTAGGCCACAAAGTTCAATTTTGGTCTCATCTGACCAGAGCACCTTCTTCCACGTGTTTGCAATTTGCGAGAAGCCATGTGGGGGACATAGCAAAAGGGACATTTTATGGCTTTCTTTCAACAATGGCTTTCTTGTCACTCTTCCATAAATGCCAAATTTGTGGAGAGCACAACATTTTTGCTTTTAGGCCAGAAAGTTAAATGTTGGTCTCATCTGACCAGAGCACCTACTTCCACATGTTTACTGTGTCCCCCACATGGCTTCTCGCAAATTGCAAACACATGGAAGAAGGTGCTCTGGTCAGATGAGACCAAAATTGAACTTTGTGGCCTAAAAGCAAAATGCTATGTGTGGCGGAAAACTAACACTGTGCATCACCCTGAACACACCATCCCCACCGTGAAATATGGTGGTGGCAGCATCATGTTGTGGGGATGCTTTTCCTCAGCAGGGACAGGGAAGCTGGTCAGAGCTGATGAGAAGATGGAGGGAGCTAAATACAGAGCAATCTTAGAAAAAAACCTCTTAGAGTCTGCAAAAGACTTGAGACTGGGGCGGAGGTTCAGCAGGACATCAACCCTAAACATACAGCCAGAGCTACAATGGAGTGGTTTAGATCAAAGCATATTCATGTGTTAGAATGTACCAGTCAAAGTCCAGACCTAAATGCAAGAGGGAATCTTTGGCAATACTGTTGCTGTTGCAACACAGATTCAATTGCTGTTCACAGATGCTCTCCATCCAATCTGACAGACCTTGAGCTATTTTCAAAGAAGAATGGGCAAAAATGTCACTCTCTAGATGTGCAAAGCTGGTAGAGACATCCCCAAAAAGACTTCCAGCTGGAATTGCAGCGCAAGGTGGTTCTACAAAGTATTGATTCTGGGGGCTGAATACAAATGCACGCCACACTTTTCACATATTTATTTGTAAAAAAATTTAAAAACCATTTATCATTTTCCTTCCACTTCACAATTATGTGCCACTTTGTGTTGGTCTATCACATAAAATCCCAATAAAATACATTTATGTTTTTGGTTGTAACATGACAAAATGTGGAAAATATCAAGGGATAGGAATACTTTTTCAATGCACTGTATAAATATATATTTATTCTGCAAGTTTATTGGTGATATTTATCTTGAACATGGAAATTTTGCAGTATGCAATTGTAGCAAAGCTAAGAAATTAACTTAATTTACATAATATATATACAAAGTAACCATTTAAGGCAGATGCAAGCCGAACATTCAACCTGGTGCATTTAATTAAACGATAGATCACAAGGTTTATACTGCCAAGCCTTCAGAAAAGCCAGAGCCTTAAAGGAAACAGTGAGGCCCATAGTTCTACAGAGCATAGAACCAGAATCCGCTGAAGCATGGTCCAGCTTGAAGATCAACAAAAATCTGAAAGCAAAAGGCTGCTATGCATTTTAATTCTACAATAGCTATATAAAAAATAAACAGACTGTTAGAGCATGCTGGGACTTTTTGTTTCTATATTGCTAGAAGCCCACTGGCTGCTAAGACTTTGATAACATATACAAAACCAGGACTGGCTGGATGTTATAATGTCACAACGGCAAGACATGAAGTGTCCAGGGCTTCTGGTTCCCGAATAGTTTAAACCCAAGACTCCTATAACCACCTGTATAAATAAGACATGCGGGGCCTTCCATTTGCCTTATAGCTATAAGAATTGCTGGGACTTGTAGGTCCACAACACTCAATGTTGCTCAACCATGACAATAAGGAAAATGTCACTGTCAAGAGTGTGACGCATCACTCACCTATCCTGCTGTCCATGACGTAAGTCTCAATAATCGCACTTTTCCTGCATAGGTCTTCTGCCATAGAGGCGCTGCTCACTTCTAAGTGCTTAACCTACGAGACAGGCATTAAATTAAAACCATTGTCAGTGCTGGTCAGATTAAAGTGAAGTATGGAGAGAAAGGGCTCTGCGGTGAGCACACACTGCAGATAATTATATTATATATGTGAACAAAATGTATAAGCATTGCACACATTAAAAACTTTCATTAAATTGGCTGCATCTACATGGCTATAACTAGCTTATAAGAATTAACTTTATCCCACACCACCAGAAAGTGAAGAATTGA